TATGTACATTCACCTGTCATAGTGCCATCAACTATGTTAAAAAACTTTTCTATACACACTTCATCTTACAACAATCAGACACCGCAGCAAAAAGTAATTATGATCTAGCAAATTGAAAAACACAGACAACGAAATACTTGATTGACGGTACAAGCGTAACCTCAAATGCTAATTCAATTCTTCGAAATGTTGTGTCTTCGCCTCTATTCTATACGCAATCCGCTGCTGATACTATCATCCTAGCACACAATTACTTCCCAAACCAGCGGACGGACAATTCCCGCTGGGATAATTTCATAATCCTATCAAACAATAAGGTGGGCAGCATATTGCTTTGCATACATCGAAATTTTGCATGAATTCGAAATAAACAAGTGAAACAATTTTATGAGAGCAAATGATAATCAGCAACAGAACTTGGTCTGAAGACGAGCAATAACAAGCATTTCAACAACTGCAATAATAGAACAAAAACAATGCTTTTGATTCGTTCGAGAAATTCTCGCACTGAGCAATGAACCCGGAGCATCCGGAGAATCCTTCCTAAAGGGTGGTCAATTGGGAAAGTGTTCGACCTGGTGATTCCAGAAAGAAATGTGATCAAACTAGTATCTTTCAAGTGAAATAATTCAGAAATGAGGGTTTTCTTGGTTTTTTTTCTTCAAGGATGAGCAAGCAGTTAATTTTATTCCAAATAATAGATGCTTAAAGCACAAAACGACAGCAATTATCTAATCGCTTCAATCAAATTTCAACCTGATACGTGATATTGTTCGTAAATCGGATTTTCATAACGAGAGACCTATAGAGGAATATTACAAACCATTTATCATTATTAAACTACACAAAGCAATCCGGACGCGACACCAGACCCGTGAGCCTGCATCATATTGGATGAAAGCCTCTCTTATGTCATTTGAAAATTTGCGATTCAGTTTGCCATCAAACATTGTATTTATTATTTCAGCCATTATTCTTTGCCGCATTGCTCTTATGAATATTACAAAAAACTTTCGAATTATGCGTGTAATAAACGATCAAACTGTTATGATTTACAGTGGTAATTAAACTTTTATGATGCAACCAACCATCATCAACTCTACATTCGTGAACGATTTGTACAATTTATTGAACTATACGTAATCTTTTATTAAATTTGAACAAAAGATTGTGTATACTGTGAAAATGACAAATGAACAGTTCTTTGTTCGTAAGTGATACAGCTCATTTCATCATGAATTCACCTCAGCAATCTGAAATCTCACGGCTCTTAGATCGCAAACATTTTAGGTGAGTCATTCTAGAAGTTTACAAAAACTTATAATACTGATTTGATCAAGAAGATCAGTGCTTTGAGTCAGATGAAGCAAACACTTTCGAAGTTTTGGAACTTTTCATGGTGCTGATCGCTCGACAAACATGCCTCGTTTTTTAANAAAGATAACAAATGCTATTTGTGTGTGCTACAAGAGGGAAGTGCTCACAAAGGTTAACGTCTGTTTGAAGTGTCGCTGCTGATTGGATTGCAGCAGTCCATGCACGCACAAACAAAATACGACAACCACATACTACCTGTCAATGCGCACATATCAACAACTCAGTCTTGTTCAAAGCGCTCGTATTTAATTAATCGCTAATATAATCAGCCATCAATGTCAATCGGTGTTGCGCTCGCTCGGCTGTACATACACCAAAGCAATCTTTTTCACTAATCAAAAGCCAAATTTTATGGCATTCAAATTGCAATTTTCATTTGCTGCTGCAATCAATTCTTAAATGAACATCTATGCATTCATGCATCCAGCCATCCATCCATCCGCACATCTTCTGAATGCGCATCTTTTTTCATCCCTTCATTCCCATCGTTTTCCATCACGTTAGCCAAATATATTGAATTGGATAAGTTCTCAAATGCAAGTCTTTTTGAGGTTCCAAGAACTAGAAAATTAGCAAACATGCTGTCGCAGATGGAGAGGAATGGACAGATCAAATATATCACCAATTCAAAGTTCGCCTGTAAAATGGCTTATTCAACTACTGTTGGCATTGAGGAAAAAGTAAGCTGTGTAAGCGTGCAAATCCTGACCAAAACAGCACTCAGAGCTCATTTCCATCCTCACAGCTGTTTTTCCGTGAATATCATTAGAGGGTAACTATTTGACGTGTAACCAACCAAAATCGTACTAATTCTTCTTAAGTCAGTTTGAAAGTTTCATTCT